TTCTGGCCCTTGGTATGAAATGAACGTCACAAAGTAGAAATCGCCGCCTCTTAGCAGCTCTCATGTTGGTAATGTCTCCACAATAGAAATACCTAACCCGGTCTTTTGTTACTCGTCTCCTTGGAACTTTCTCGCCTTCGCCGTGTAAGAGTATTTGCAGCTGTCTGAGCCATCCGTGCCCGAAGTGGGTCAGGTCATGATTGAATAGCGCCTCGTAGGTGTTGTGATAACGGCTATCAATTTCGATCCACAGCGGGTGGACACGTGTTAACAGCCCTCGACTTTCCCAGTGTTTGCCGAGAACCGCGTCTTTGCACTGACAAGTGACAGGAACTTCAGTCACTTCAGCACGCGCGCCGTGAAGTAGTGAAGAATATTGAATTTGGCTTTCATGACTTATTTATTTTATTTAGTGTTCTGTCTGACGACAGGTCCATATGAACAGGATCCTTCCATCCTTTTCTCTTCTCGGACTGGGACCTGTTCATATACGTTCTTGGCAGATGATCCAGAAGTGGTTTGCCATTGCCTTCTTCTGTGTGTGAATGGAGTAATTGTTGGAATGCCACGGAGAAACCGTCGGAAGTTTTTCTCCGTGCTTCCGATACGGAATATGCTGACTTTTCGCAACGAAAACTTAAAATAAAAAATAGGCCGATTAATAGCGATTTGAATCCGCCTGTCGTTGAGGGTTTTTAAGTGATGTTGGAATTTAGTTGAAAGAACTCCCAGACAGCCCCAGTAATTACGTCTATGTTCTATCTGTCATGAAGATTCGAAACGATTCAATTTTGCTGTGTATCTGTTTAAAGAATCAAGTGCAGGAATATCGGAAATTGTAAAACAGCGAGATGTATTTAATGTATTACGTCATGTATCATATGCGTCCGCAGTGGAGTACACCTTTCCCCTTCCGGGCTATTTCACTTTAATGATTTGCCCTCATTGGAGATCGAAATGTTAGGATCGTGAAAGTTGCAGAACATGCGATGTGTAAGTGATCATTCCTCGAGATGTTCGCAGGCTCTGGTGTGAATCCCACCTGATGTGTTACATGGCACCAAGTATTTCACTGACAGTACTTCTTCGTGTTCATGTGCAAGCCGCCTTTCCCGCCCTTGGTCCTATCAGACTAAACCGAATTGAAATTACGAACTCTTTTATCTGTTATAACAGTCTCATGTACAGGGCCTGTGCATTCCTGGTGATTAAAATCGCCAATATTTCGATCAGATTCTCGCCTGGTGTTCAATGTGTAATTTCGGTTTTCCGGGGTTAAACACCGCGTCGAATGCTAGTTGTCCAGCGTTTCGGCAAGCATTGCGGTTGCCATCTTCATGGTGAATTTTTAAAAAGGCTGGACGTTTTTGGAAGCCTTATGTAGGTCATATGTTTGCAGAAACGATGGACAACTATCAACGTTGAACGCGGAAGATGAAGTTGCTTATTTGGAGACAAATTTCTGCTTGTGTTTAATTCCTTTTGGATTTTAACGCAAGTTGGTTAGGTTTTAGTGCTCGCGAAGAGAAATTCATTCTCAGAGTCAATTTATTCAGGTCCTGTTTAAATGCAAAATAATCCATATAAGACGTCGTTTGCTCGGAGTACATACAGACATTTTCTCTTTGTTCAGAGGAAATTAAAAATTAGGAAAGTGAATAATTTTAATGTGTAAAAAGCAAGGAATCCCCACAGTGTCTTACGATATGCGAAAAAATGATCCTTTTATCTTTGTTAATAAATTAAACCACACGACATATCATGCGTCTTTTATAATATTTAAGTTATTACGTGGGATTTATATAAAAATAAAGTCCTTTCACACCTTTAGAAGGAAGTCGAGTGCACAGTGTCTACTTGTTCGCATTTTTTTTGAACAAGCCTTATTGTATTTAAAAGTGCAAAAATCGTTTATTTATATGCAACACAGCAAATTCTCATTTAGGTTTGTTTTTGCATCGCAGGAGCAAATATTGTGTTTCAAACGAAATCATAATATTTGATGATGTTTCGTGTTGCGATCTTTTTATTTTGAATTTGCGTTTGTTTAATAGCAACGAGTGTTCGTTACTTTAGCCTCAGTTCTATACAGATGCGTATCTGCCTCTTCCCTTCATCTGAATTTGAGGTGACGTAATGATTCGCTGGCCAACAGACCAGGTAACAAGTTTCCTGCGAAAAGTGAGGAGAATGTTTTACTGGAAAGATTTTGCTGATATCCCGAACCATTCAGTTAAAAACAGGACCTAGACCTACTTACGTATATACTAATACATGTTACTCCATGGAGAAACTGACTTCTTGAGAAGCTGATAGTTTCTCAGCTAGTCAAATTCCCTGCCTTTTATAGGTCCCGAAGGTTTCTTACTGGTACCGTGTTCACAAGAGTCTGCCATTGGAGTGTATCTTGAGACTGATCGATTCATTCTACAGCCTTGCACCGTCTTTATTGAAGATACATTTTAATATTATTATATCATCTATGCTTAGGTATCCCATGGTCGCCCCGATATTTTGTGACGAACACAAATTACATTTAATGATAGATTAAAAAATATATATAAATAAGCTGTCGTAAGTAATATGTTAAAACTACTTTCACCCAGAAACTGTTTCTTATATATAGGACTGCTGGCTGACACAGCATCTTCCACCGCGTTCCTGAACGAAGATGAATCTTACAGTGAAAGTGTTACGTCACATCGGCTTAACGTCTCTTCCCGGAGAGCCGTGTTGCAAAGTTCAAACGTCTGTCAGCTCGTTCGTGACTTCTCAACACAGAATTGCTCTGAAATATGTTGACTCGTTTCACAACGGAACCCACACGTTATTTACCGAGTTTGTTTAGCGCGGTGCTAACTTATCGTAGTTGATTTCAGCTTAAACATTTTAAGCTTTTTTTTTTAAAGTGTTCTCTAAACATGGTCTTAACCGCCTTGGCTACGAATCCGCCTGTTTGGAAGGCAATTAAATGTTGCTGGCGCAAAAAACCGTGTAAGCCGAGGAAAATTTGTCTACAGGCGAACAGTGACCCAGCGAGGTGTAGATTTATCCTCAGTCCTTTAGCGAATGATTGCATTTATCGTGAGGTTTCAGGTTCTCATGGCAGCGAGTATGAAGATGGCTGTGTTCTGGATTGTAGCGCCCTGTAATCTGGTACAAGTTTACCGACGTTTAAGAGGTGTTTGCCTGCGGCGAGCACCCGTGAAAAACGTCTGACAGACTACACTGTGTTACAACCAACAAGACAGCCATCTTCATATATTTATGGTGCTGCTTCGTTAATAAATCAATTACTGTCGTATATTATGTTTTTTATAGTTGAAAATCTACGTGTTTGTTGCCTAGCAACCATTTAATTTCGTAAAATTATCACCGTGTGTCCTCACAGCAGTGAATGGTAGAAAATGAGTCAGCTGGATATTTGTTTATCATATCCTTATAATAAATAAAAAGTTTTGTTATTTCAGTTGTATTTATTTTAAAAATAAAGCAGTTTAGGGGTCGCTTCCGCTGTTGTCAATGTGAAACATTTATTTTGGATGGATTTCTAACGTAACGAAACATTTGGGCAAAGTCAGAAGTGAAAGTTAGCGGACTCAGTGCAAATACTGACACGTCGGCTGAGATGTAACGCAGCTAATGAAGTCTTATTTGGATCGTGTTACTAGAGTTACCACACAGCAATGTTTGGAGAGAGACACACAATTATCGTCAGAGCTTTGCGTGTAAATAAAAAGTATTCAAATTACGAGTACAAGTAATTCGGTGTTTGAAGTACGAGGAACACGTAACGTAACCAAATGCTAGGGTGTGATTTAAATTCTGCCAGTGTGCCGTCGAACGTAAGCAGCAATGGAATACAGGTTTTGAGGCTGGGAGTGGATTGAACTGGCTTAAATTAACAGGCTGAAATGCTGAATATAGCTCAGAAAGAAACGTAGTGAAATTTTAAGTCCGTATCAGTGTTTACCGTACAAGCAAGTGTTTACTTAGGCATGCCGAGTTTTTTTAAAATAATCTCGTACTATTTTATTCAAAATGGAATGCTGACCGGGCTTTCCGGTACTAACTATTTGAAAATCGTGCATAATATTTTTGGTGCATGAAAATTGCTGGATCCGATGGCGGGCTTTTGTGTTCACGGTAATGGGATTTGGGAAATTTATCGACAAGCCGAGTGTCTTATTTACTTGTGAACAAATATTACTCCATACTATTACTGTCCGCTTACGTTTTATTTATGTTTTTTTATGAACGAGGTAGACCAAAAGTAGGAATTCAGAGAGATAATTGCTACGTTAGGTAATGTAATATTATTATTAGCCATTAGATGGAGTAGCCATAAACACAGGCTGGACCCTTCATAATCAAGATGACAGTTTAGAGTCTGCGTCTCTCCCCAAGCCACGTGTGTGGAGTACCAAACGGTCCACGTGCGTGAAGGGGCAGGCGATTACTCCTAACATCTTCTATTGAACACGCTCCGCAGGTCATGAGCGGTAGATTTCCACAGTACTTATGGCTTAATTAGGTGTTTTGTAACTTACAATGTATTCATTAAGTTTAATAATAATTAATAAGCACTGTATGTTTCCGTAAGATTCATTTTAATATTATCATCTTATCTGCGTCCAAGTATCTTCTCTTCAAGTTCGACTAAAAATTTCCGTTGTAATTTTCATTTTTGTGTTCTTGCCTTGGGATAAGGGACAGGTTTTAGCTCCTAGAAGCCTATGAAACAAAGGATGGAGTTATAGGAAGTCTGAGTTTGTGGATTGGATTCATGTGGCTTAGGATAGTGTTCAGTGCGGGATTTTTTGAACACGGTAATGGACCTTAGGGGTTCCTTAACGCGAATTTCTTTAGTGGCCGATCGATTATCTACTCGAAGAAGACACCGCTCCATGTATTTGGATATAGTTCCTTTTTGCGCTTAAAATTAAATTGGTTAAAGGCCCTTCTGTAATTAGACCGTAGGTAAGATGAGTTTGACTTACCTGCACGATGAAGAGAAGAAGTCGCCCCCTCATCCCTCGTTTCTGTCCTGAGACCCTGAAACAAGTTAGTACAGTCAATATCAAGTTAAATTAAACACTATCATAATTAATTCCTGAATATCTTCTTATGACTCACATTAGTTACAGGAGCCCTTAAAAGTTTAATTTATCAGAACTTAATTTATAGGCTTAAATTCCCCTTCTCTGAAATTAAAGTGGCTTAAAGAACGAGGCATTTTAGACGTGTAAATGGCAGTCATTCTCCTTCCTCCCCCTCCCCCACCCCCACCGCCAAGATAGAGGCAAATGATCGCTAGTAACGTACGCCCTGATAATGATTTGTTTAAAATGTCTTGGTTTTCTGCTGATACGTTTAATTAAGAATTGTAAGACGACAAAGCTGTTTAAGATGCATGTCTGTACGTTTTGTGGGAAGAGTTTATGAACAGATTGAGAGAGGTTTTTTTTTAAAAAAATCGTGTTTACGAAAGAATCGGAAACCAGCCCTTACTACGTCTGTCTGTTTGTCAGCCCCTAAGAACGTTCGCGCCTAACTTTACAGTGTCCAGTGTTTATATTTAATTTAAGGGATGTAAAACTGAGATTTGCGATCGAGGGAGCTAGTCCGTCCGTCCGTCGGACAGGAATTGTCAAAACAGCAAATTGAACTTTAAACAAGGCCAGAAACTGCCTCGCATTACGAACTTACGTGGGCATAAAGTATTTTGACTGCCCTTTCATCAGCTGATGTGTTAACTAAGTGTCCATTTAATTAGATCACAGACAAGTAAAATGTTTGGAGTTATTTGTCTTGGTTTTGGATAATGTGGGACGAAAATTAATATATGCAGAATTTTAGTGTAAAACGTCCACCTGGAAGACGTAGAAGTATATGGGGGCTCTACCTTTACGATGTATCTCAGGGAGATTGGTTGTGATGCAGTGACGAGCTCTGGTGTTAGCTGTGTTGAATGTTTGTGTTTGTGTTATCTACAAATATTCTTTGCTTTGTGCATATAACTTAAATACACAAAATGTTGTGTAACTTGCTGACTTGTGTTGTAAATGGTATTACACGTTGTAGAGGTGGCATCTTTACTGAAAATCTGGTGCTCTAATACTCGAATATGGCCACTAGACACAATGTTTGGATTTTACGAAAATATCCTTGGATTTCTGATCCGTGGACCGTCCACTTTGTTCTGCTTGTTATTTGTGATTTGCATATATGTAATTTAATGTTAATGGAACGCGTGGATGGTTACTACAAGCTGTTGAGACACCTGCGGGCGCTGACACATTGTGTTGTGGAGATGCATACATCGCCGTTCTGAGATGTTAAATAGTTCGCTTGTGTTTGCCGCTCGCAACAAGGAAAGTATATGACGTCATTACTGTTTGTCCTGAATATCCGCGAAGGCCGCATTGCATTTCTTATGTCTCGGTTCACATACGCGGTACTGGGCCGCGTTCAGTTTGTGGTGAACAGATTAAAATAAACACGAAAGTTATCTCAGGACGTACTGCCGCCATAATCGTGGTTGGTGGAGTGGGAAATCCACAGACAGACGATCTGCTATGTGGGGAATCCTCCGCCGGGCAGATATCAGTCACCCACCCGCGCATGCGCCATTGATGTCATTTAGATAGGTCAAAAGTGAAATTTGGCAAACGCACAAGGAGTTAATTGCTGAAGCTTTGAGCAAGTTTATATTACTTCATCATCTGTTAAAATTATTAAAAATCTCATAGATTAATTAGTATTTCAGTTTAGGAGTAAAAATGCACTGTTCTGTATACTGACTTAATTCAGGAAGGAAGATTTCAACTTGAGTCTTAGGAGTAAAAATGCACTGTTCTGTGTACTGACTTCATTCAGGAAGGAAGATTTCAACTTGAGTAAATTTGGCTTCTTCCAAATTATAAGTGATTTGCTTTGACCGCACACGATTTGTATTTAAATATAAAATTATTTGTATTTTTAAACAAAACACTCTTTGAAATTTCTGATACCGCCTTAGTACATGTTTCCCCTTGATATTAGATAAGAGTCCTCTTTTGCTGCAATTTTGCCCACTGTCAGAAGGCAACTTATCCGACTCTGCAGTGCTGCGGGTGGTATCGCAGAGATTGAACTACACCGACAAAGGGCAGTGGTGGGTTAGTCGATTAGAAACGTAAGGCATTGACAGTGGTTTAAAGAAGTTGAGGAGACAAAAGTGGACATTCTGCCGTGCATATTTCACCACGTGTGATAGGGGCTATGCTAGCTTCGTTGCTTCAGGAAGTATGACGCTGTTGGAAAAGAATATTGTCCCAGAAATTAATGCAGAGAAACTTAAATGTAAGCACATGTCTCGTCTGTACATAAAAAAGACAAAATTCTTGTGTAGAGGTATCCTTTGAAATTGTGGCAAAGACTTCAATTTACAATAGTTGCGTGTAGGATGGAATTAATTACTGATACAATTTTGTGAACACCAGCTACTTTGCAGTTCCAGAATCTTCTTTCTGCATTGTGTTTAATAACCGAAATATAAATAAAGAAAACAATTTGGTTGGTGGGTTATCGTGATTTTTCTGACGGAACAAAAGAAAAGGATTCTCGTTATAATAGGCCAAGTATTTTTCAGAATTTCTTAATGTTTTACTTATTTGCAGATGGTAAAATGTAATCATAATTAGGACAGTGGTTAAGAGGCACATACGAGTCGGTCAGTTTTTTTTTATCTGTATTTTAATTTCTGCCAGCGACAAATCTTTGCTGTCGTAAAATCTCGTAACACTCAGACAGACGGTTTGCTTACTTACGTCAGACATGCGGCCCTGTGGGATTCCCGAAACTGACGAACACTCTTCCATTTCACTGTATTATTATTGTTACCGAAATTTTCTTATTTATTTATTCAGTTTACAATATTTTTACTTTTCGTACTCTGTCTGATTTCATTTATGTCCACGGACACCGAAAATATCAATAAATATAGAATTTAAAACAAATCCTTAGCAGTGGTTAACAAACTAAACCCTTAGAGCAGAGTCCTCCATGAGAAATCTGGTATCGAAATTCCCTTCCTTCTTATAAAACGCGGGGGTTCGTCGCCTTCACAAGACCCCACAAATGGACCTAATGTCAAACATCATTCACTCCAAGATCTATTTACGTGGTAGATATTCGTTTGTCTCTTTGTAGATAAGACTCGATCTGCACACGATCTGAGTTTAAGATATTATTTTACAGTTGGTCTGAATGTTTTATGAAACCTGCGACAGTCACATTGACGGTACATCACCAAATATGGTTGTGTACGTCGTCACACAGTTCTTACCTATAGCAACGCCCCTCGGGCAGTGGCGGTCAACAGGCGTGTACACTCATTGGCAAAACTGTAGCAGCTGATCACAAAACGCGAGCAACGACTTTAGCACGAGATGACACTCGAAAACACGGGCTTCGGACTCAGCTTTTTGTTTAAAAAAAGACGTACCCTCAAGACTTGTTTGTAAGGGCTCAGCTAACAACACATGAATGCTGTTAAAATATGAGGAGAAAGTATTTATACTCTGAAGAGAAGAAGCAGTTAGCGGCGTTGGGATGAGCCGAGGCACGAGAGATGAAGCAGAAGGGGGGGGGGGGCGCGGGCGGGGGGGGCATACAATTTATCGGAATCGAACACAAGTACTGTACCTTGTACCAGTGGATTTACTAGATTCAATGAAAATTTAGAAAAAATAGTAGTAATAAATTTGAGATTTGAGGTGTTGACATCAAGTATGAAAATGGATGTCTTCTGGGATCTTATACCATGTAGTACTGCAGATAGTGGCTATCCCGATGATGGAGGCAGTAAGCTCCTCGGAAAGGATGTTGAAGCGAGCTATCGTGACCTAATTCGAGGTACTCTCCCTTTAATTGTCAGGAGTGACTTAGGAAGGGCGCGAGAAGCCGGTCTCTGGGACGAGATTTGAAGCCGAAACCTCCCGAATGTGAAGAAGTGGTGTTTGTTAGTGAATTTAACATCGTCCTTCAACGCGTAGGCTGTATGTGAAGATTGCATAAAATTATATTAAATACGCAAAACTCAGTGGTAACTATATGTACCACCTGCTTTAACAATTAGTAACTCTTCATTTCGTATTTATGTGATTCTTTCGAATCCCACTTTAAACAGCGATTATTATTTCCTTAAACAGCGTTAAACATTTGATCTTTGTAATGGTGAAGTGTTGTGTTTTCTTCGCGGTACGGACTGATTTCTTAAATAATATTCACATGAGTTTAATCTTCAAAGGGTTAAGAAATTTGTGTTGTCCAATATTGCACCCAGGACTGATAATTTAATTCATGCACTAATTTGATTTTGATTCTGTTAATTTAAATGGCGTTCTTGTGGTTTTCCTTAGTCCCCTAAAGGCACAGCTCCGCAAACAGCAAGTAGCTGACACGCTCCTAATAAGTACCTGCCTTAAAAGGAACGATGTTTAACTCCATTGTACTTCTGTTGTAAGCAAAGTTGTATTAACGTTGGGTTCAGCTGCCCCCTTTTGTATTCGAAAAGTAATTGTAATATAGGATCGTTATTGGAGGTATTGTCTTTTTTACGCCTTAGGGCATGAACTGGGGTCTTCCGACTACAAAGCAGGAACAGAGAAAGTTTTTGTTTTTGATGCCGGCGCAGTATCGGGTGCTGAGAGAAAGGCTTTCTGACGTTTCAGCGGGAATAAAGGTCATGAGGTTCTCTGAACTTGACGAGGATTGGCTCTTCCTTATTGTCCTGAGCTACAGGAACACGTTGTCTGGTCAGCTTGCTCTTTGTAGACGGAGTTGTTTTGTATTTATTGTTTCCTTGACAAAAACGCTTTGTAGATAATTTATACGCAGAACTTAAATTATGTGAGAATTACAAAATGTTATTATGACTCGCGTTAATTAATTTAAAGGTATTTTTACCCATGTTTTATTCAAATGCGTATCGCTTGAGAGCCTGTTAAGGCTTTAACATAACTTTGCTGACGTCATGTATTAGCGTCTCCAAATTGTCCTGATTTAATGACGAAAAATATGGTAATTTGTGTGAAATTGGTGACGAATAGGAAATATATTAGTGCAGCCTCGTGTTGATGCATTAGTGTCCGTGCCCTACGGCCGTAAGTGGGGACAGGGTTTGAATTAGCTTGACGGGTTGCAACTGTGTTTGTATCTGCGGGGTTAAGTTACGCGAATCTGTTTGCTTTTCAGATTTTCATTAGCATTTCTTTGTTATCAAATTGAAAATTGTGATGTAACAAAGTAGGTTCCGCTTTGAACTGCTGTTACGTAATTTGTGAACAAACTTTCTCATACGTGTTCTGCGTACAGAGAACAACGGTAAAAGGTTCTTGTCCCCTTTATGTATTTATTTATTCATTCATTTTCCACCTCCATTAGGAGAGTCCATTGGAGCAAAAAATATTCACGACTCGAAATATAAACCTCGTTAAGATTTGCAAATCTCGCTTGAAACATTTTTACGATAAGTAACTACTTAGAACAGAGCCCTTAATCAGGCATTTTCTCTGACCATTACGTAAACCATCCGCCTTTTATGTAACCAGAATGTTCATTACCGCGTTCACAACAGCCCGCCATTTTATGACCTGACCTTCATGAACCAGTCCACACCCTACATACGTATTTTTAAGATTCTATCAGCATCCTTACATCTACACCTAGGTTTTACCAATAACTCTCTTCCCTTGGGACTTTCCATTTGTATAAACAGCGAATGTTTACGGAAACATAAGGAACGTCTGTCTGTGGCTGCAGTGTTGCATGCATAACAATCACCAAGGCCATCGGGGCTTAGCAGGATCTCTGAGACTGTGTTTAGAAAATGCTGCACGTGTAGGCTGAGTTAACAAGTGACTTAAGCTTAGTTTGTCTACAAAGTGGGATGAAA